CCCCAAGCGCTGGGATTAAAGACAATGCCACCATTCAAAAACACCCTTGGCCCACAAGCATGGAACTCTTTTTTTTTTTTTTTTTTTGGTTTTATGAGACAGGGTTTTTCTGTATTGTTTTGGAGGCTGTCGTCGTTCCAGCTGGGCCTCGAACTCACAGCGATCCGCCTGTCTCTGCCTCCCGAGTGCTGGGATTAAAGGCATGCGTCACCACCGCCCGGCAAGCATGGAACTCTTAAGGGGTTCTGGACATGTATGGTTAAATCATAGGCATGTGTTATTGTTATTAATATCAATATTATTGCACTGTTTTGTTTCCCTAATGTAGCCACAGATGACTTTAAACTCCTTATCTTCTTCCATCTCCTGAGTGCTGGGATTATAGGACTGTCACTGTGTTGGTTCATTCTTTGTGAGAATCACATGGCGGCATCATGTTTATTTGCATATTTGGTTTCTCAGTTCCCTGACCCCAGTGTAGGCTGACAGATCGTCAGCATTTGCAGTAGTACTTTACAAGACTTCTGAACATTATGCCCATTTCAGAAAGACCTCACCTGCAGCCTGTGGCTGAGCCCCCATGGGATGCTCAGCCTACTATTTTCTTGAGTGCAGAAATGAATGGGCCTGTGGTTAAATCATTGTCCTGTTGTCTTGAGATACAGTGGGACCAGTTTTTCCCCAGCTTGTCTGTGGACAGAGAACAGAGGGTTCCTGAACAGAGGAGCCCTTGTACAAGGGTTTGCAGATGGTAGCTTAGGGGGAAGGAGGTTCAGTATAAGAGCAGAGGACTTGGATTCTGTATCCAGCACCCATGTGACTTTCCCCAACCACCTCTGACTCCAGGGTACCTAAGAGCATATAAATATAACTAAAGACCAAGGATTTGGCTATACTGCAAAATCCGTTCCCGGAGGATTTCAGATCTCGATGCAGACAGCCTTCTCAGTGCCAAGGTCCCTTTGGACAAGGTAGACTTTTTCATAACCATGATGACAAAACTCTGGTCCTCCTGCTGCTTTCTGTGTGCTCATTAGTTTGTTACTGTGCCACAAATGTAGACATAGCTGAGAAGAGGATGAGTAATTGTGTACCTCAGATTGGCCTATGAAGATGTCTGTGGGGTATTTCTTGGTTCTTGATAGCTGTGGGCAGTACTATTCTTGGGCAGGTGGTCCAGGGAGCTGAATGTGGGCCTGGGAGTAAGCCAGTAAGCAGCACTCCATGGTTTCTGCCTGTTTTGGCTCTTGACATCCCTCAATGATGGACCCCTTTCTTTAAAAGCTACTTATTTCTTTTGTTTAACCCCCCACACCCACAACCCCCCCCCCAACCACACACACAAGGTTTTTCTGTATAGTTCTGGCTGGCCTTGAAGTCAGATTTGCCTGCCTCTGCCTCCTAAGTGCTGGGATCAAAGGTGTGCACTACTACTGTCCTGCAAATAATGGACTCTTATGGGCAAATGTAACCATGATAAATCCTTTCCAACCTAATTGCTTTCTAAAGTGAACTTAGTCCCTTCCATGTGCTGGGACTAGGTTTTTACTATCCTGTTTAATTCACTGTTTTTGAATTTGAAAGCCCCCCCCCCAATCCGAGCATTTGTCTCTCAGTTCTTTGTTAAGTCATTTCCTACTAACTCATAAGTTCTTAAGGGCAGGTCCCAACCCCTTATTGCACATCTCTTCCAGTGCTTGAGGGTTCTAGAGAACAGTGGTTCTCAATTTTTAATACAGTTCCTTATGCTGTGGTGACCTCCAACCATAAAATTGCTTCGTTTACTACTGTTATGAATCATAGTAAATATCTGATGCAGGATAAGAACTGCTATTCTAGAGCATCTCCATGTATCCCAGGACACCTGCAGGGAGTTAGGGTGTGAGGGGCTCTAGAGAGGACTTGGCATAGCAGGGACTGTAGGGCCCACCGCTCTCCTGCTGACTTAGCAAACTATCACTCACTTTTTCCACTGTCAATAAGGACAGAATAAGAAGGACTCCAGAGGCTAGAAACATACACGGTCAAACATGGAATAGTCACATAAGGGGGCAGAGCAAAGGGCCTCTGCAAACAGGATTCTGGGCTGGTGTGAACTCTCACCAAGATGGGCAGGGGGAATGCCAATGCCACCTGCCTCCAGCCATAGCTGGTCCCCGTGGCTCCTGACCAGGAGCAGCCCACAGTTGGAATGGTCAGAAGTAACCATAGTTTTGATAGGTGGGGGAGAGACTTTTCACAAGGTGCCAGCCAGTCAGGGCAGATGTTGGCCGTTGCCTTGCAGAACTGCCCAAATATTTCCACCAGGCAGCGGTCCTGTTCTTCCTGAGAATGTAAGTGGCAGTACACCATGGCTCTGCACTTCCCTGTGAGCGCATGCCAAGTTAGTAAAACAGATGTACCCTGCTTCCATTGGCCTCCTGCCCCTAGCTGGTACCGTGGCACCCTGCTCAAGCTGCCCTCCTCGCTGACCTGTGGCATGGTTGGGAGGACCAGGTTCCAAAGCCCAGTGGCCAGAAGGAACTTAGCTGCCTCTCACTGTTGCACAAATCCTTGAGGGTCCGAGGTGTTGTGGTTAGCGGTGCAATGTATGTAGCTCAGCTTTGCACCCAGAGTGGCTGTTTGCACTGGGCAAGAGTGTGTTTTGTAGCTTGGATTAAGGGGCAAGTGGTGATAGGTGTGTGCGAATGAGGAAGTCCATCCCTGTAAGCTGTGAAGCCACGCTAAAGGGAGAGAGGCAGCACCTGGTATTAGCACGGTCTTCATTTTACATTGCTGAGATCTTTAACCATACACTAGGCTGTTAGCATATTGCTACCCAAACACTCAGTCACAAGTGTTCTCTCTCCCATTCCCTGATGTTATCTGAGTCTAGGTCTTATTTTAGAGCCAAACTGGCCTGAAAGTCAAGCAGCTCCCCGCCCCAGCTACTCCCAAATGTTTACCCTGATTACAGGGTCAACTTCCCTGCCCAGTTGTAATTCTCTATTCATGGAAAAATTGTAAATGCTGCCACCTGTTGACCAAATGTGCACGTGCATCAAATCCACTTTGAGTATCCCTGCCCAGGTGGCATCTCCCTGTGTTTTCTGGGCACTTCAGAAGTAGGCACTACCCAGGTCTCTTAGGATCTGTCAGTGACTGAGTTAAGTGGGGTAAGTACCACACTGGGTTGGCACTCTCTCTGGGCTGTGAGCAGTGCCCTGTTCAGTCAGATTAATAATTTCTGTCTTGTCTGTCCTCCTCTGTCTCCCCATCTATCACTCCCTCCTGTGTATGTACTATGCATGTGAAAATTCAAGTACTGGGTTTTGATTCTAGAGTCTTATAGCCTCCCTCTTGTTAAGTTGCTCTCCATACCCCCCCCCCAGAAAGGGCTACTCTTAAATATGTGGATTTTTCCTTTTTTGGTTTTTCCAGACAGGGTTTCTTGTCCTGGAACTCTGCCTTCCAAGTACTGGATTAAAGGTGTGTGTCACCACCACCTGTCTGGTAGGGATTTTTCTATTCAAAGATTTTTCACAGGTTACATTTTAACTTGGAATTTAGAGGCTCTTTTCACAAACCAACAATTTAGTCGTTGTTCTGAGAACTTGAGTCTCATTCAATTCCAAGGGTAAATCTCTATAAGGGAGATTGGATCAATAGATACCAAAGCAGACCAGAGAAGCAGAATGCATATAGTTTTTAATCTCCCTCCCCCATCTAAACGAATAGCTCATTCACACAGACATTTTTGATTGATAGATCTTCATACTGAATACAGGTGCCACCAGTGGTCGAAGAGCCATGCTTTTCCCTCTCTGTGTTCCTGGTAGCTACAATGTTACACCTGAATAACTGGTGTGCTCAGACCAGCTTGACAGTGACAGGTTTGCAGAATACACCACCTACCGCCCTTGGAATCCAGGCCTTCCTTAAGACCCTAGTCTACACACTCTTGTCCCGGCCTGAACCCTAAAGTTGAGAATAAAACCGAGGCTGAGCATCATATTTGCAAATTTTGAAAGTGGTTAAATGGCACTTTTCAAAGCCTTGCCTTTATGTCTAATCAAAGTGATGGCCTGTTCTCAAGTGCCTGTGACTATTTCTACGCCCTTTGGTCTTAGGGAGTGTGTGTCTATAATGCTTGGCCATTAACTAAAAGGCAATCTAGCCCTCCCTGCCCCGTAGTCATTTCTGCTTCTCATACCTTATTATGGGGAAAAGGGGGGGTCAGTACCCATGAGCCCAGATTTATATTGTTTTTCTACATTTAGAAAAGCGAACAGATATGTAATTTTTGTATCATCCAAATTGTTTTCAAAGGACTAGTTACTTTTGAAATCAGGCTTAACTAAAGATAGTCTCCCTGGCCTGGAACTTGCTATTTAGACCACACTAGCCTTAAAGCTCACCTCTGCCTGCCCCAGTGCTGGGATTAAAGGTTCGTTCCACCATATTTATTCACTCGTGCTTTTAGGTAATTTTTTTTTTTCTTTTTGAGACAGGGTCTCACGTATTTCTCAAGCTGGCCTAGAATTCACAACGGTCTTGGTGTAGCCTCCCAAATGCTGGAATCATGAGTGTTTGCTACCATTTTCCTGGCACATTTTAAGTGCATTATATGGAATTGTTAGGTACAGAAAGTACAGGCGAATATCTGGGTGAAGGTGCCTATTGATTCAGGATTTCAAGGCTGTGCTTACAGTTGCTTGTGGTAACCTGAGAATAAAAGGCTACAAGGCCCCAGATAGGAGTCTGTACTCTGTCTATGGCAGAAGAGGAAATGCTCACGAAAGGTGAGCTACAAAAGAGCATGATCATGTGACTCCTGGACTGGTCATGTGAGCTGGCCCATGAAAGTCATGATCACGTGACTGCTTAGACCAAGCATGTAAGCTGTGCATTTACAGGGGTAGTTACAAATGCTTAGTTAACTTGTTTTGTGCTATGTAGATTTTATTATTCCCCATATCAGTGGACAGTGTGTTACAATTGATTTTTGTTTTGCCCTTTAGGCTTCCCAAGGACATTAGTACAGGCAGAAGCCTTGGACAGAATCTGTGATGTGGACCTAGTGGTCAGTTTGAATATTCCCTTTGAGACACTTAAAGACCGTCTGAGCCGACGATGGATTCACCCTTCTAGTGGGAGGGTCTATAACCTGGACTTCAACCCCCCTCAAGTGCTGGTAAGATACACTGAGTGCTGGGGAGGGGACATGGGTATGCTGTTCAGAGAAAAAAATCTACATGGCCAAGCAGCATAGTTTAAATTCAGTAGTAGTCAGAGGGGAGAGCCTGGACTATAATATAAGGCCTACAAAGGCAGCATTGCTAGTGACTGGGAACGTAGCACTCTTTTTGTTTCATGAATTTCATTAAACTATTATGGTCCTCTCTCCCCCTCCCCTTCTCCCTCCCCCCTTCCTCTCCTTTTGAGACAGAGCTTCTCTGTGTAGCAATAACAGCCTCCACTGTCCTGAACTTTCTCTGTAGACCAGGCTGTCCTCTGTCTCCTGAGTGCTGGGATTAAAGTGTACACGACCACACCCAGCTATTGATAGTCACTGAGTGATTGAGGCACACCTGTTTCCCTCCCCGCCTCCCCCAATAGGTAGCCTAGATGCTGCCTCGTCTTCCAAATGCCTGAGAGATTATGGGTGTGCACACCATGCCTGGTACAGACTACTTGTGGTTATCTTTTTTGTTAATTTTTTTCTCTGACTCCTTGATAATGACGAATGCACGAACTTGTTGTATTTTCTGGAGTGGAACAGGTAACATGGTATCAAATCTTTACATGGAAAAGGCCTTGTAGATGGAAGCAGTAAAAAGTTGCGGGGACATCACCACTACTGGTTGCCACTGTGCCAATAATGTCCTTTATGGTGCCAGGTCATTTGTGATAAGCATTAGTCCCCCTCCTCGCCCCCCCCCCCCCATTATTCCCCCATCCTAGCGAATTGGTTTGCTCATTCAGTCTTCATTCATTTCATAGACCCAGTTTCAGCATGTTGACCAGACCAGTTCTAACCTTTTGAGTGGCTGGGTGGGACAGTGTGTCACTGAAGTGTAACCCATGATATAGTGACAGGAAAATAAAGTGGGAGAAAAGAAAGGAGTTTGAAAACACAGACAGGAAAACGGAAACCTATCTCAAAGGCTCCTGCTCTGGCCTCCTTAAGACTTACTCATCAATTCTTACAATATCTGAAAAGCATTACTTGCTAGCTTGTTACTTTCCAAAGCCCAACTCTACCTGAAAGAGCCCCTGTTTTCAGAGACAGCTGTGGAAGGGAAAGGCCAGCTCCACCAGCCACTGGTGTCTCCCATGACAGTGACGTTGCTGCCCATGTGTCCTTCTGCTGTGTTTGCTGGCACTCTCAAATGCGCTCTAAGCCTTGTGGCCATCAGTAACACAGATTGCTCATCGCCTCTCCTCTCCTGCTATGCTGACACCCCACTGTGATAACGATGTGTCTTGTCCAGAGTCACTCAAGGCCCCCAGCTGCAGCTGGATTTGAAATCCATGAGCAGCTTCTAATGGTCTTTCTGAGTTGCTTGCGCCCAGTAGTTCCTCCCCATCCTGTCTTTGACAAATTCACTCTGCAGCTTTCCCCAGAGAGAACAGTGTGGGCCTGGGAGCAGAATTCCGATGCTCCTGCTGTGCCCTGTGTTTGTAGCTGTGCTTCTTAGAGGAATCAAAGTACCAAAATGGAAATTTGTTGGTTTGTGTGACCCTGGCTGGTCTGGAACTAACTGTGTAGATCAGGTCACCCTTGAATTCAGACAGATAAATCCACCTGCCTCTGCATTAAAGGCATGTGCAACCAGAGCCACTGAAATTTCTATATATCTAAATTTCTCATTTCTTAGTGCAGTACATTTGAATCATGCCTGCTTTGATATACCTTAGAGCATGTCATTAATTTTAGAGATTGCTCCATGGCAGTGTGAAAGCTGGCAGAGATGGTGAGGAACCAATTTTTAAAATGTTTTTGCCCTTTTATGACAGATAAGTATTTATATCCATGTACATATGGATGTGTACTTGTGCCATGACACAAGTGTGGAGGACTAAGGTTAATTTGCAGGAGTCTCCTTCTACCTGTGGGTTCAGGATCATCAGCTTTGGCAGTGAGAGCCTTCACCTGTGAGCCACCTTGCTGGCTCCCCAGTTCAATTTGTTTCCCACAGGAGGGCCAGAATTTAGAAAACAAAGCATGGCATTGTGGTGGTATGTTGTTCAGGGTTGGACTCCCAGAATTTAGGCAGTAGCACTGGGACATGTTTGGAAAGATGTGAGTAAGATTTAGTGCCCTTCTTGGCTTGAGGTCAGCACGATGAAGCCTGAGGCCTGTTACACTGTGGGTAGATTTCACATGTTTTTGCATAAGGATGTTCTGACCTTGGAAATGCCCAGTGGTTGGCCATGCTAACCGGCTCTGGTGTTTTAGGGGATTGATGACATCACTGGCGAGCCACTTGTCCAACAGGAAGATGACAAACCTGAAGCAGTTGCTGCCAAGCTACGACGGTACAAGGATGCCGCAAAACCAGTCATCGAACTGTACAAGTGAGTGTGTGTCTAGTGTGTTCATTGTGGGGGCCCTACCAGAAAGTCATAGGGCCTGATGGGAGAAGCACTGGGCTGAGCTAGGTAATGCTGCTTCTAGCTAGATACGTCTGAAGCCCCCACACCTCCCAGGAGGCGGGTGGAGTGGTGTATGGGAGGTAAGATCTAGTCTCTGCTTATTCAGGAAATATTAGAAGATGAGAACTCAAACCCAGGTATCTCTGTCTGTAGTATGTCTGGACTTCTCATTTGGGAGTTGGGGTGGGGTTTTGGTAGTTGAGGCTTCATGCATGTTATGCAGGTGCAAATAAGTGATTCTGGTAGACTAGGGGCTGTAAAAACTAAACAGACCAGAGCATGATGCCAGCTTTTTAACCTTGGATCTTTGTCTGTTCTGTGATATTAAACAACCTAAATGCTGTTTGTTTGGATTGTCTTTCAGGAGCCGAGGGGTGCTCCACCAGTTGTCTGGGACGGAGACTAACAAAATATGGCCTTATGTTTACACACTTTTCTCAAACAAGATCACACCTATTCAGTCCAGAGCCGCATACTGAGCCTGCCATCGGAAGAACCAAGAAGACATGGTCGTTCACTCAATCATGATGTGTGTCGTCTGGTGCCCTGGCCAAATTAGAAGCTAGCTGAGATAGCTTGCAGCATCTTTTCTAGTTTAAGTGACGAGGTAATGAGGAAAATCTAGTGGGTAGAGAGAACTCTGCCTTTGAGAAGCTGTAGCTCTGCAGGTGGGAGAGCAAGTACAGACTGGATTTCCACCAGCGCTGAGCCGATACTCTCTCGATGGGTTGACAGCCATGTGCTGCTGTCCTAGCCTTTTTGCATGCAATGGTGGTAGAAGTCCTGGTTCATGCCACCTTGCACAGGCTGTTGAACCACAGCACTATAAGCCTGCGGACTTGAGGGGCTGTGGTTCCAGCTTGTCCCCTGCCATGCCCTCTTGATGACAATTGAATTGATGCTAATTGCACTCAGTGACTGTTTCTCCCTCCCATCCTAGACATCCTAGTTTCTGCTGACTGTGTCTTCTCGTCCGCTGGCTCCCTTCATATGCTACTCAGTAACACAGTAGTCTCTGCATTTTTTCCTCTGACTTGCTCCTTCTACAAGCTGAGAACCAGGGGACTGGACTCAGTCCCTTCATAATGGGAACTGAGCCAGGCTCTCTGCCTGTCTTGAACCTACTCTGTACCTTTTATTGTTTAAAAAAGATTCCCCAAAGTCTCTGGGAGTTCTCAAAAGAAGTGTGGAACGATCACGATCACATCTGCATAGACGTAGTAATCGTATGGAAATCACTGGACCAATGAGATGAGTTAGGCTTCTTTACTCAAGGCAAGATGAGTATTGAACATGCTGCTAAACATTAATGCTGACAGTACCGTGTTTTCCTTTGTGAGTGATCCAAGCAGATGGTAAGAAGTCAGTAAAGGGAACAAGCCTGTGGGCTTGGAGCATCTTGCACTAGATGTACATTGCACCTGCACAGAGTAAGACGGCTTTACCGTTATGGGAACGTAGAATCTTTTTTCTTCCTATTCCAAAGATGCAGTCTGTAGGTGGCCATAAAGTCCAGAAATGAAGATGCTAATATTTTGTTAATCATCATGTGTCAATAAAGCATTTGTTAAAAGACTTCCCTGGTTTCCAGACTTGTTGGCCACCTTGTATAATTCTTACTCTTCTCTGGAAGAATGGTGAAATTTCCTCCCTCTGCCTTAAAAAGGTATCCCGCACCCAACTGTCCCCAGGGGAGCGTCCTTTATTACTGGTGGTTTAGTGTGACTGCTCATAGTCTGTGTGGGGGCGCGGTGTGGGGTGGACTTAGCACTTTAGTCGTATTGAAACATGTTATCACATTCTAAACGTGTCCTGTGAATCCCCAGTCCATTCACTGCCATATATTCTGTGTGCTAATGAGTCTGTCTTCCTTACTGTACTGCCTGGACTCTTGTGGTTCCTCTCAATTGTCCTTCCACATGCGTGTTCTTGGCTGCCTTAGTGGAATTGCAGACCAGCATCCCTCTCTCATGCTGTCAATACAGAGAAATCAGGTGGTTCACTTGGTAAGCTTCAGAAGCGAAGGTGCCCGACTCAGCTCTGTGACCATCCGGGTGTTGTCGTGTTGATGGTGACTACTTTGGAAGCTTGCACTTGGTGTAGGGGCCAGGTCAAACAGATACAGCCCAGGCTTCCTGGGGAACAGGTCAGGTGTGGGGGATCACCCTGAGATTATTCCCACAAACTAAGGGAAGTAGAGAATTAAAGCAACTCAGGGTAACTTGAGCGGTATCTTCCTACTTGAGCAAGGGTGCGACCAGGTCTCTGCCTACACACTGTTTCTCCATCTTTTTCTTTTTCGCATTTCAAGCTATGGTAGCTAGCACTGGGACAAAAGGGTCAGGAGTGTCTGTCTGCTGGTGAGACCAACAAGGGACAAAAGACGTCTTTGCTGATTTTCATGTCCATTGGCCTAAAAAACATCTGGTTTTCTACACTGGACTCAATCTGTTCTTTTCAATGATTTTTGTGGAAAGAGCATTAATACAGAAAATACCTTGACAAAGGTCCTTTCTTTCATGCATGCTTTCCCTTCAGATGGAAGCCAAGAGTCTGGGTGGTTTCTGAGAGTCCAATCTGACCTTAGTTAATTAATTCACAGGTTCCACCCAGCTCCTTAAGTTTGCTTTCCACAGCTCTCTTGCTTAGAACTTGGAGAACCCGGCCTGTTTGTTCCTTCAGTATTATGACCAAAAGGTGCTGTGAAAAGGAGGCCTTATGCGTGGATTGTGTGCTCTCGGGACCTCTGCTAGCATCTTGGTGAATCTTCCTCGCACCCCGTGAGGTAGATACAACCAGTCAGTCTTTCCTATAAGCAAAGAGTCCAGGTTATATAGTCTTGCCCAGGCTCTTGATACAAGTAAATAGTGCAGCAATGACTCAGTCCCAGGTTTTCCTGTTTCGGAAACCATGGCCTTTTTTATTGGGTGTTAGTTGTCTTGCCCTAAGCAACCCAGGACCATGAGCCTGCTTAGGTCTGCTTGTGGGCTCTGGATGAGTGACTGCCTGAGGCTTTACTCTACTTTGAGGCAGGCTGGGTTTGGACACAAATGATTGACCTCAGTACCGGATGTCAGGAAGCCATGAAGCCATATGAAGAAAACCTGCATTTATTAGAATAAATGCAAACTGCACAATTCTTGCCAGAATAAGTGCCACCACCTGTACCCTGGCACTCCTTGGTGTGGCCATTCTGTATGTGGTTGGGCATGAAGGAGACAGGCAAAGGTTCACGTGTGACATTCATATAGACTCTGTAGTGACAGACAACTATAGGAAGCACAGTGTCTTTCAATAAAAGGTTCTTTAATAAAGCCTTTGGAAGGATCATCACCTCTTGGATTAGGGAAAAGGGAAGGAAACGGAAAACTTGGTCTTTGTGTAAAGTACAAGCAATGTTAGGGCTCAAGGCTTTTCTATTTTATGAGAATTTGTACTACTGAGTTTTTTGTTTTTGAGATGAACAGATCCCTGGGGGAGTATGTTGAGCTATGATAGCATTTCACTGTGATCTCCCAAAGTTCAAGGCAGTCTTCTAACCCAGTGCCACTGACCTGTGAAAAATGGTGGCCTAAGTTTCCCAGGAGCCAACAGGTCACCTTTTTTTAGTGTGACAATTGGTATTCTTGATTTGGGCATATATGCTTAATTCAGAGTATCTGAGTGTGTTCTGTATATGCTATCCTAACTATTCATTGTATTAATTGATTTTTTTGTTATCTTGCTTGAGGATTGATTTGTATTCAATTTGATAGAAATAAACGTTTTTTTCCTGCTTAATGTGTGTTTAGTGCTTGTGGCCGTTTATGCCGTGTGATGACTTTCTCATTTGTCCCTCGTTTGCAAATGAGGCAAACAATGAATGTGACCTAAACAAATTAGTGGAGGCAATGCTCCTGTGCCTATCCGTTTTCCTGCAGTCGTCTTGTTTGTGCGCCCTCATGCTCCTTGTTCTCCCTGTCCTTTACCCATTAGATTCATTTTTACGGAGGCTGGAGCTGGAGCCCTTTGTAAGCTTGTCTGGTGGGACCTGGGGCCATGAACAAGTACCTACTGTCCTTTCGGGAGAAATCTGAAAAAATAGAGGCGTGAGCCCTGGCCTTTCCCAACCCTGGTATAGCCTCCCGATCTGTGGGGCCTTCCAGTAGCTGAAAGCAGCTGGAAGCAAGTCCTAAACTCCCTTGTGTCCCCAGGAAGGACAGGGAAGGCCATCTGGATAGGATGGCTATGTGGTGAGCTGTCAGATGGCAGACAAATCGTGCCTGCCTCAGAGCTGACAATGGGAGAGTTAAATCCTAGTGAGGTGAATGATACCCATAGGACACTTATGTTTGTTTCTGGTTTTTTTTTTAAAGTCAGAGTTTCTCTGTGTAGCTTTGGAGACTGCCATTTCAAATTACTCGACCTAGTTGTGGCAGGACAAACTGATTACCCTGGACACATGGGTCATTGGTCCTTTTCAATAATCCATGAATGAGTATGAGGAAGGATAAAATTTCTTAGGCCTTAGAGAACCATTTTCTTTATTTAAACTTCCCCCTTATTTTCACATTTACTTGTTTGGATCTTTTCCCATAAGTACACGCGAGCACGCACACACACTCACACACACATGCCATTATATGCATTGTATGTGGAGTTGGTCTTTTCCCTCCACCATGTGGGCTTCCAAGGATCAAACTCCCTTGGTAGCAACACCTTTACCTTCTGAGTCATCTCACTGACTCTCTGTCTTATTTGTAGAAATAAATCTATTTATTATGAAGCCAATAAACCAGATCTATTGTGTAATTTCCATATGAAAGTCTTGCCTAAAAATTTGGTACCTAACAAGTTTTGGCAAGAAAATGAGGACTTTGAAAATAATTGCTACTAAAATCTGAGCCCATATTTTTTTTAAGTAGTCAAGACACAATACTGTAAACCTATTTCATTTGAATGGGGAATAAATATCTGAAATCAGTACCAGCTCTAGAGCTCTTGTGGGTATGGGGAATTAGATTTTTGTTTTAGTTTTTTTATTTAAATTAGAAACAAGGTGGCGCCGGGCGTTGGTGGTGCACGCCTTTAATCCCAGTACTCGGGAGGCAGAGGCAGGCGGATCTCTGTGAGTTCGAGGCCAGCCTGGTCTACAGAGCGAGTTCCAGGACAGCCTCCAAAGCCACAGAGAAACCCTGTCTCGAAAAACCAAAAAGAAAAAAAAGGAAACAAGGTGGCTTCACATGTCAATCCCAGCTTTCTCTCCCTCCCCTCCTCCCTCACCAGCCCCTCAGCTCCCCTACCCAAACCCCACTCAGTTCCCCAGGGAGGGTGAGGCCCTCTATGGGGCATATCCAGATTCTGTCATTTCGTTCAGAGCAGGGCCTAGGCCCTCCCCTAAGAGTCTAGGCTGAGAGAGCATCCCTCATTGTGGGATGGGCACCCAAAGCCCATTTGTATGCCAGGGATAAATATTGATCTACTACCCAAGGCCCCCTAGATTGCCTAGGCCTCCTCACTGATACCCACATTCAGGGAGCCTGGATCAGTCCCATGCTGGATTCCCAGCCATCAGTCTGGGGTCCAAGAGCTTCCCCTTGTTCAGGTCAGCTGTTTCTGTGGGTTAAATAAGCCCAGTCTTGACCCCTTTGCTCATCAGTCCTCCCTCTCTGTCTCTGGGTTCCAGGAGTTCAGTTCAGTATTTAGCTGTGGGTGTCTGCCTCTGCAAGTTAGACAGTTTATATGAGAAAAATCCATAGAACCTAAGACCCCATGAATCTAAGATGTCAAACTCTCCCTAACATTTTGCCAAAAGTATCTTCATAGCCGGGTTGTGGTGCATGCCTTTAAATCCAGCACTTGGGAGGCAGAGGCAGGTGGATCTCTGTGAGTTCGAGACCAGCTTGGTCTACAAGAGCTAGCTCCAGGATAGCCTCCAAAGTCACAGAGAAATCCTGTCTCAAAAAAAAAAAAAACAACAAAAAAAGATACTCTTCATTAAGAAATGTATTTTTCTTTGTAGATGTTTCCATAGCATATTCAAGGACCCTGTACCACATAGTTGGATTGGTGATGTCTGAAGTTAATAAACAGTAATATAAAAATGTATTTCAGTACACCAGCAGAAGAGGGGTGCTGCTGAGTAAGACTGCATCCTTGCTGTAGAAACACCAGGTGCAGGAAAATCCAACATCTTGAATAAGGAGAAAAAGCATCCACAGTAAATGTGTGTGTGTGTGTGTGTGTGTGTGTGTGTGTGTGTGTGAGTTGCCACCGCTCAAGTGTGGAAGTGTGAAGACAATCTGCAAGGTTGTCATATTCTATCACATAGGTGCTTGAAATGAAACTTGGGCCTGGGAGCAAGTGTCTTTAGCCCTGAGCCGTCTTTTTTTTTAAGAGGAAATAAATTGGAAATTTAAATTCTATAGCTTGTAAAGAACATTCAAGACCCAACTTTAGAGCTGAGGCAATTGTAGTCCTCTACTCCAACGGTGAATCAAACAACCAGGGAAGCAACAACAGCCACGAAGAACACCACAAATGGGAAATGCAGTCCTGACTAGGAGACAATAAAGGAGCTGGAATAGAGGAACACAGAGTGAGACAAGGGACCTCAGAAGTAACTTGCAAGGTATAAGAAGAGTCCAAATTCGGGCTGGAGAGATGGCTCAGAGGTCAAGACCACTGACTGCTCTTCCAGAGGACCTGAGTTCAATTCCTAGTAACCACATGCTGGCTCACAGCCATCTGTAACGAGATCTGGTGCCCTCTTCTTTTTTTTTTTTTTTTTTTTTTTTTTTTTTGGCTTTTTCGAGAGAGGGCTTCTCTGTAGCTTTGGAGGCTGTCCTGGAACTCACTTTGTAGACCAAGCTGGCCTCGAACTCACAGAGATCTGCCTGCCTCTGCCTCCCGAGTGCTGGGATTAAAGGCGTGCGCCACCAACGCCCGGCTCTGGTGCCCTCTTCTGATGTGTAGATGTACATGGAGGCAGGGTGTTGTGTTTGTAATAAATAAATAAATCTTTTTTTTTTTTTAAAAAAAAGAAGAGTCCAAATTCAACAGGGCATACAAAGAAGACATGGACATGGAGAATGAAAACTCATAGGATTAAAACAAAATGATAGGGGGCTGGAGAGATGGCTCACAGGTTAAGAGCACTGGCTGCTCTTCCAGAGGACCTGAGTTCAATTCCTAGTAACCACATGCTGGCTCACAGCCATCTGTAACAAGATCTGGTGCCCTCTTCTGGCCTGCAGGGATACACGCAGGCAGAACACTGTATACATAATAAGTAAATAAATCCTTAAAAAAACAAAACCAAACAAATGATAGAAAGGTGAAATGTTCTGCCGATACAGCTATAGGGGATGGAGAAGACCCAACACACTTAAAAGTGAACCCCCCAGAAGAAGAAAACAAAACCATGAATCAAAACCAACATTCAAATTCATAATGCAATATAGCTTATAAAAATAGGTTTAATGCTGGGCATTGGTGGCGCACGCCTTTAATCCCAGCACTTGGGAGGCAGAGGCAGGCGGATCTCTGTGAGTTCGAGGCCAGCCTGGTCTACAAGAGCTAGTTCCAGGACAGCCTCCAAAGCCACAGAGAAAACCAAAAAAAAAAAAAAAAAAGGTTTAAAAACTGGGTGGTGGTGGTGCACGCTTTTAATCTCAGCATTCAGGAGAGCAGAGACAGGAGGATCTCTGTGAGTTCCAGGCTAGCCTGTTCTACAGAATGAATTCCAGGGCTGTCAAGGATGTTACTATTACACAGAGAAACCCAGTCTTGAGAAACAAAACAACAACAATAAAAGGCAAAACAAAAAATAGGTTTAAAATATTTCAAGAAGCAGAAAAATGTTGGCTTCTGTGCAGAAAGTCCAAACAATTCATGCACAGGCACAACGGCAATGGAATAATATGAAGAGCAGAAGCATCCAGCCTGCTCATCTTCAGTAGACAGGGATATGGATAAGTAGTCTTCAGATATACAACAGAGTCCTCTTACTGCTTGGTGACAAGCATCACCAGAACTGGGAGATGAATGGAGGGAGTACAGCAAGAACTATGGAGTACATACAGTTGATTTAGTTGAAGAGACTAAAATGAAAGAGTCATAGAGGAGTAGAAATGTTGCTGCGCAAAAGAAAAAACGAGAAAGAAGCAAGCAGGAGAGCACGCTAAGTGACTCAGTTGCTGGTATAGGAAGTGGAAGGGTTTTGTTGAAAGCAACTAGTTCAAGCCTAAGTAAAAACAAGAGAATGGACTCCCTTCGTGCCAGGATGATTTGTGGGCAAGGGAGATAGTTAGTAGGAGGGGTCCCGGCAAAGATAAAACTCAGTGTGGAAGCAAAGGAAGGGAAGATCAGTCCTCATGGTAGTGAGGCGTGCACCGCCAACGTCCGGCTTATTTTATTTCTTATGTATATGTGTCTATGTACTGGTGTGTACACATGGATGCAGGTGCTCCTTGGAGGCCAAAAGAAGACATGGGATGCCCTGGAGCTGGAGTTACAGGCGGCTGTGAGCTGCTTGATCTGGCTGTGGGGACTGGACGTGGGTTGCTGGGAGAGCAGTCATTTTTCCAGATCCATGTCTGAATAATAATAATAACAAATGATAGTTATTTTATGTACACGAGTATTTGCCTCCATGCACGTCTGTGCACCACATACATGCCTTGGAGGCTGGAAGATGCCATCAGATCCCTTGGAACTGGAGATATATAGATGGTTGTGAGCTACTGTGTGGGTGCTTGGGATTTGAACCTGGAACCTCTGTGCTCTTAAACACTGAGCCA